CTCCTCGCCTGCCAGTCACCAGCAGGACGCAGCAGCCCCGGCGATGCTGTTCTTGCGGCACGGACCTCCCGCGGTGGGGAGGGGACGTGCTACCAGAGCATGTCGGGGGGTCTCTTGGCTGAGTTTCGGCAAGGGGCTGGACCAGTCAGCAGCTGCTTTGCTGCCCCGTGGCTTTGAAGACCTTGGGAAGATGCTGTTTTAATGATGCTGGACTGGACATAATGATTTCAGGATGTCCCTTTCTGTAGAACAGGGTAGGATCCATCACTGTGGCACAGCCTGGGAGCAACCAGGGCTTTCCAGTCCTCCTCCAGCCATCCCTTCACTTCTCACCTTCACTGCTCCTGTAGGAAAGCCACTGTGCAGGGGACCTCCTGGGTTCTTTGCCCTTCCGTCAGGATCTTCTTTCCAAGCCTCCTGTCCCTTTCTTTTAGGGCTCCTGAGAGTGAGCGGGGTCCCTGGATTGCCCATTGGACACTGTCCTCAGTGCTTGCAGTGTGAGATGCTGGATCTCTTTGAGTTTCTTTTACCAGCACGAGGAGGACCATGACTTGCACAGATTGCGAGCGACCTACCTAAAACTTGTTTAGTCTTTGTCTCCATCTTATTTTTCCTTTCCCCCGACCATTCTTATTCAGGTTTCTTTTCAACCCCTCTCGTGTCTCATGACGGTTCTCCTCATGTCATGACTCTGGGCTTATCCTCCCGACTCCAGTCAGGGCTGGCTTGGGCTGGGCTGAGTTTCCCAGCGCCAGAAGCAAGCTCCCTCACTCCCTGTCAGCCCAGCAGCACCCAGCGGTGTCTTGAAGGACTTCTGAAGACTTGGGCTTGGGTTCTGGTCACCCTATGTGCCCGTCAGTTCCTCTGCTTATCCTGCGTGGCAGTATCGAGCTGTGGGTCCCGGTGTTGATCGGCAGAGACCTCCGCGTGAAGAACAGCTGAAGAGGACTCAGGACAACGTGGGATTTGCACAACTTTGGCTGATGGGCGTAGACAGGAGTTGTTACAAGATCCATTTTTCTACTTGGCTTGAGAGCTCCCGGGCACCTCCATGCACGCCATCCTCCCGTGTCCCTGTTGGGGCCCTTGGCTGCCCAAACCTCTGCTGTGAAGGGTCCTGCCTCTCCTCTGCCGCAGGCTGAGGGGCAGTTTGGGCACCTCCGGGGGCAGCCGGTGCCTTCCCCGGCCCGGGAGGGTGTTTGCCGGGGGCGGCCAGTGTGCCTTCCTCCGCAGCGGTTTCAGCTTTGGATGCCGGAGGTTGAGCCCTGGTGCAGGGCTCGGTGTCCGGGCGAGTGCCATGGGGTTTTCCGCTCGTGCCCGAGTGCTGAGCATCAGCCTCCTTGACGCATGCCTCTCGCGTTGCCCCGCCAGGTCCTCGCGAAAACGGGGGAACCGGCTGCCTTGCCGCGACCGGAGAGACCAGATCCCTTGGTGGTGGCCGGCGGTGTCCCCTGGGCCGTGCAGGTAGCTTAGTGACCCCGCTGCCGCCTCGCCCTGCCCCGCAACCCGCTTCTGAGTCGTGGATTTGTTTGTTTTTTTGTTTTTTCTTTTTTTTCCCCCCCTCTCTTTGCCCGGCTCTTCCCGCTCCTTGCCCAAGGTAGGGAAGCCCAGCAGGAGCAAGCACAACACACTGCCCGGCGGCACCCTGCAGATCCGCTCCCTCGGCAAGGACGACCACGGCGAGTGGGAGTGCGTTGCCACCAACGTCGTCGCAAGCATTACTGCCAGCACCCACCTTACCGTCGTAGGTACGCGCGGGGCGGGGGACGGGTCCCTGGGTATGGTCCCCCCAGGCAGCGTGTCGGCAAGGCGGGAGATGGGGATGCTTCCCGTGAAAAGCAGCGTCTCCTTTAAACCTTATTTACCAGCTGCCTTTTTCTGCTCTCTTCTTTTGGCCACCTGCGGGCACAGCTGTCCTGCCACAAATTCCAAAATTCCAGGTGACCTTTGCTTGGTGCAAGAGGAGTCCCCTCGACTCATGGCTGGGAGCAGACCCCTTCCAGCCCCCTTGCCTTTGCCGACCAGTGCGTGGTCTCACTCCCCTACAACCCTTCCCTTTCTCTCTCCGCAGGCACGAGCCCTCACGCCCCGACCAGCGTGCACGTTGTGGTCGCCATGACCTCAGCCAACGTCTCCTGGGAGCCCGGCTACGACGGTGGATACGAGCAGACTTTCTCAGTTTGGTACGGCCCTCTGTGAGTCATCCTGGCATGCTTTGCTCTCTGCTTCTTTTCTTTCCTAGCCGAGCTTCGAGCAGCCGGGGCGGGAGGAGGGTGGTGAGGGTGGCGTGCCCCCCGGCTCAGTGCCGTGGGTGTTGTGGGGCTGAGCTCCCGTTTGGTGCCTCGGAGAGCTGGGTGGTGGTGGGATCACGTAGGTCCTGCGTTTCCTCTCCCTTCTGCGCTAGGCAGCACCACCGTCTGCCCCAGCAGGTTTTATTCTGCTCGTGGTGCAAGGGAGGTGCTTTGCATTCGTGTAACTTTGCCTCCGGCATCTAATTTCAAGATAAACTGTTTACGGAGCTTAACAGCCAGGGAGAGGATGGAAAATGCAACCTTTATAGAGCGCGTCCTGGAAGAGCTGTGACTAAGCAGAAATGATCTCTCCTTGCTCTGCGGCTCTCTGGAGGTGGTTGAATCCCGGCTGAGTTTGCAACTGGCTGCCACGAGATGCTGACCGGGTCTGAGCCTTGTGGGGCATCGCTCCTGTGCCAGCCTGCCCTGCCCAGTACCCAAAACCAGTGGGTGCATCCCGCCTTCCCACAACGGGGCCGGAGTCGGCCCTGTTGGCTTTCCCCTGGGGTAATGGAGAGCAAAACGTAGCTGCAGCGAGGTTGGGGTTTTCTTTAGACTCTGCCCTTGCTCCTGTCTTCCTCTTCTGAAGAGCTGTCCATGGCAACGTGGAGGGGATCGTGTCTTCCCTTCCCAATTCTGGGGCTGACATTCTTCAGCTTTTCTCCTCGCTCTCTTTCCTTCCTCACCTTGATCTGCCCTGATGGAGGCTGTGGATAGAGCGGAGGTAGGGTAGATGCTGCCCATAATGATTTCTGCTCTGCTCCAGCCCGAGGCCAGACATTTGCAGGGTGAGGCTGGACAGTCTGTCGGGAGGTGGAAAGAAGAAATGGAACAAGCAGAGGGGAGGAAAATGAGGGAGCGAGCGGAGCAGTGCAGACCTCGCTCTGATGAAAACATCCTCGGGAAGGAGTGGTTCAACCTCTCTGCTCTGGGGACATGGCTCATCTTGGAGGGAGGCGGCAGCTGCTACCAGGTTCCTGCCTCCTTGAGGCTCTTCTGGACAGGGCACGACATTGCGCCAAGCTTGCCTTAGGGAATTTACAGGGTGCTGTGGGGACCTCGAAGAGGGATGCAGAGACCTGTCTTGTCCTAACAGTGAGGTGTGAGCCCTCGGGGCTGTGCTGCTCCCCGGGACTGGGGAGCCCAGCAGAGGTGGATGGTGCTGGGTCACCTGTGGCCGTCCAGAGAGCTGGCCAGCTGGAGAGTGTGCATTCTCCTCCCTGCTGTGGCTATGGGATGCTCAAGCAAAATGTGGCTTTGCCTCCTCTCCTCCCGCTTCTGCGGTTGTTGGTGCTGGAAAACGCAGACCCCGCTCCCCAGGGATGGCCGGGACCACCGCAGCATCCCGCCTGCGTACGCGCTGTCCCTCGGCAAGGACGTTCTGCCGCGCCCAGTGGGGTGATAAGCTTTGCATTTCCCCTCCACTGTCCCTGCCCGCAGCTGCGCTGGGGAGAAGGGGTGTGAAGGTGGTGGGGTTAAATGCTG